GTGTGTGTGTGTGTGTGTGTGTGTGTGTGTGTGTGTGTGTGTGTGTGTGTGTGTGTGTGTTGGGAGAGGTGTTGGGGAAAGAGGGTTTTGCCCTCTGGGCAAAGTCAAACCAGAGAAATATGGAAGAGGTGAAACAGGAGAGAAATGATTGATTTTTAGAGGGTTAGCTCCTCTCTGAAGTCAGACCCAAACTGCAACCCAGCCCAGGGCCAGGTCACTGGTGTGACCATGTCACTCACCTGTCCCGGAAGTGAAGCCAGGCTGCTGAAAGTTGTAGTTCTTTATTTCACTGTACCATCTATCAGCCACCTCCTTTCCTGTATGGAAAAGACAGTTTAAAACTCAGCAGCAAAATCAACCGACTCCCTATTCCTTCCATCTCCTCCCATTAACCTCAAAGCACCCATCCCACAGTTAGACGTCTCATAAAGCACCAACGAGCTGACATGGGGACTCCTGCCCATGAGCACATCCAGGCTGTAGGGAGGGCCTTGTTAGGGGTTGGAAAGAGCCCTGGCCTGAGGTCAGGGGACCAACATCTGTGTCCTTGCCCTGACACTAATTCACTGTGTAATCCTGGGCAAGGCCTGCCCCGTACTATACAATCGGGTTGAATGCAACGTACTCCAAGGGCTTCTAATGATGCTCCGAGTTTCCCAGAGACCACACCTTCATCCCACCACAAGTCTGGCTCCTGAAACACCCACAGGAGGAAATGTAATTGGGCCGGTGGGTCAGGGTCTCCACTGCAGGCAGAAGGGTACTCCCCTGGAGCATCCACTGGCCACAGCATTTCCCTGGGAGCAGCTGATCTCAGGGCCAGAGAGCTAGGAGCCTTGGACCTCAGAGCAGTAAGTCCTGAACTTGAATGAGTGCACGAATCACCTGGGGCTCTTGTTAGAATGCAGATTCTGACTCTAGGGTGGAGCCCTGAGTCTGCATTTCTAACAAGTTCCCAGGTGCTGCTGCTCATCCGTGGACCACACTTTGAGGAGCAAGTCCTTCGAGAACAGTGGCTACACAGCGGCCGCAGCTGGGGAGCTGTTCAAAATTACTGATGCCTGGGGCCGGCCACAGGCTGACTGTATGAGTGTCTCCGGAGGAGAGATCCAGGCACTAGTATTTTTTGAAAGCTCCACAAAAGATCCCAGTGTGTAGCCAGGGTGGGGAACCACTGCCCTAGAGATGTCCTACCCAACCCTTCTCTGTAGAGATGGGGAAACTGGGGCCAGGAAGGTAGCAGATTTGCTCAAAGCCCCACAGGGAGCCAGCGCGAGGAGCCCTGTCTCCTGCCGGCTCTCTCCCACCCCTCTCCCTTCTCCCCACCAAGGCCCAGGGCCTGAGCCTGGGGAGGGGCTGCAGGCCTCAGGCTCCTGCTTTCCCGGGGAGCAAGTGCACACTTCTCCTGGAGGGACTCTGCCCCAAGGAAACCAAGAGGACTCCCAGGGCCTCCCTGGGGAACTCCCAGGAATGTGAGGCCGGGGAGGGAGCAGTCATTCTCCCGTGGGAGTTTGGAGAAAGCTTCAGAGCACGAGGTAGCTCTCTCCAGCATTTTTCCTAAAAAGCCACAGCAGCCTTGTCAGAGCCAGGAAGCTCAAGAATGTTTGGTCAGTGTGGTGGGATCACCATTCCAGGCTGTGACCTTGGATGAGAAATTGTCTTTCCCATTATTATTACTTTTTCCAGCACGGAAAAAAGCTCTATTGCATTTTTTCTCGTGAAGAAAGTTAATACACAAGCACTGTAAATATTTTCAGAAAAACGTGAGGAACGTAAAATCCTTCTGAGGCTGGGGATGCTTCAGGGCCCGCAGGGTCAGGCTGAGACTCAGCACAGAAATGGTCTGTCTCCCTGCCCTCACTCCTCTGCTGGGAGCTCTTCTGGAAGGGGGGTGGGGCCGGGCAGTCTGACTCATCTCTGTGTCCCTGGCAGCCAGCACAGGCCTGGCCCTGAGCTGGCCATCGGAGACCTTGTGGTGAGCTGCAGTCAGCTCCTGGGAGCAGACAGACAGCTCTGGGGTTCTCTTCCCTTTTTCTGGGCCTGTGGCTGCATTACGGCGACGACACCACGGCGGGCGCTGGGGCCAGAAGGGGCCTGCAAGCTGGATGTCCTAGGCCCGGCTCAGGCAGGAGTGGGGGGAGCTGAGAAATGACTCACCTGTCTGATCGTAGGATGCCCATGCCAGGTTCTCCCCGCACTGGCCACGACTGGACTCCGGGCTGTGCTTGAGGATCCTCGTGCTGGCCAGGGCCTCTGAATACCTGCCAGAGTCCACGGTGCTTCCTTAGAGCGAGTACGGCCCAGGGAAGCCCCCAGAGCAGGAGCCCTAACCTGGTGTGGCTGAGCTTCCTTCCCTGCCCTGGGCTCGCCGAGGCGATTGGGAGCATCACGCCTGCAACTCGTCTAAGACCCCACTCCAGTCCCATTTTACAGAAGAGCACACTGAGGCTCAGAGGAACAATGGGACCTGCCTGGGTAAGTGGCAGAGTGGTTATTCAAGTCCGGCTGTATTTGCCCCCCAACCCACGTCCCTCCTGCCTTCCAGAGACCATCTGGGACTGCAGCAGTGGCAGCACCGGGAAGGGCCCGAGTTGCCCGGGGCCCTGGGGGGGACTCACTGCTGAGCCTCCCGGTTGAGCTTCTTGCAGAGCTTCAGTGGGGCGACGCCATGCTGCTTCCGGTACTCATTGTGGGCCTTCAGGACCTCATCATTAAACTGCTTGGAAGCTGCAATGATTTCAAGATGGAGACTGTCTCAGCGTGGAGAAAAGAGCCACGGAAAGTACGCCAGCAGGCTTCAGAGCAAAGCCCAGCTCAAACCTCAGGCCACGTGCCCAGGCTGCTGCCCTGGTCTCTGCACATTGATGCCCCCTGGACTACGCAGGGCCCCATGGGGCGTGTTAGGCATTTCGATCTTTATCCAAGGCAATGGGAAGCGACTGAATGGGGGCGGGGGAGTGAGCTGAGGAGAGCTGTGTTTCTGGAAGACCCTGCTGGCTGCTGAGTGGGGGATGGGCTGGAGGTGCAGAGCAGATGGTGGGAGGCAGGACAGGAAGCAGCAGGACTTCTGCAAGAAAATGTTTAAAGGAGACTGGGTATCTCAGAGCGGACCTACAGTGCATGGTGGTGGGGACTGGCAAGGGCTGGAGGTGGGAGCCCAGAGAGAACAGGCCTGGCTGGGGTGGAGGGGTGCCTGCACTGTCCCGAGAGAGAGGGACAGATGAAGAGAAGAGGACCAACCAGGGTAGGACCGCATTGGGAAGCGGAGAGAGGGGAGAGTGTGGGAGAGAACGCGGTGGTGGGGTGGGATCAGCTGGGCTCAGGCTTGCAGGTGAGGGAAGAGGTGGAGCTTGTGTCCAACTGGGTCACAACCTCAGAAAAAGCAAGGCCAGGAAGTGGTGAAGCCAAGGGTTAGGCCAGGTCAGTAGTGGACAGAGGTCACTTCAGTTCGGATCTGAAATGGAACCCCATCCATCCCACATCCTCCATCCATCTCTCCACCACTCATCCATCCACCTATTGTTTCATGATCTAAGCATCAGCACCTAACCACCCATCCATCATCCATCCAATCCCAACCCATCCCTCTGTACATCTGCTCTCTGCGTGCCTCCTCTGTGCGAGGTCCCATATTGTACGCTGGGGGTCCAGAGACAAATCAGCCATGTCCTGCCCTCAAAGAGCTCACACACAGAAGGGAGACAGCCTTGTAAACAGACACTAGCCAACAGTGTGGTAGGGCCAAGGTGCAGGTGAGCACAGGTCAAGAGGAACTCAGAGAAAAGCAGCCTAACATGGTCTGGGAGATCAGGAAGGTGACCCCTGATTTGAGGCCCCACAGATGCCTGGACAGGAGCTGGCCAGGCTAAGATTGTGAAGGCGCAGAGCACAGCCTTAGGAATCTGTGAGTACCCCCTCTCCCTGCCCCTACCCCCCCCACCATGGAAACGGGGGGTGAGCTGGGTGAGTTATGAGCGATGGCCACAGAGGGTCCATAACACTGAGCTAGTCCCCTCTGGCGGGAGCCTGCCCCTGAGGCCTGGCCATGGGCAGGGAGGGTGTAAACCGGAGGATGAAAGAAGCACCCCTCCGTCCACTGGCCCAGGTCACCTTCACCAGCCACCTTTCTCCTCCTCTGCCGTCTTCCCCAAAAGGCCGTGGAGATGAACCAGCAGGGGTCCTCTTCCCCTCCCTCAGCCAGATCCCTCAGGTCTCCTGGGCCTTCAGATAGAATCCCACTGGGCCTCTGAGGGGATGTGAGGGAAGAAGACCCGGGGCTTGCCCTCTGGAGCTTTGGGCTAGACGCCAACCCAGCAGAGGGAAGGAAACTGCAGGCTACGCCCGTGGTGGTCGAGCTTTCCAAGGGGTTTCCAAGATATCGGACAGCGAGTGGTCCTGACCTCAAACATTCCAGGGCCCGGCAGGGCAGTCCAGTGGGGTCCAGTCACAGTAATGTGGAGTGAGACAGGGACGGGGTGGGAGAGGGGTGCTGAATGCCAGGATCTGGGAGATCTGGGTTGACAGGCAGAGATGGGGAGATGCTGTGACAAAGGCATGGAGGTAAAAACCCTGGTGATGGTAACTGGGCACAAGGCAGAGGGTGGAGCTACCACCTGAAGTCTCAGGCTCTGTGGCCAAGAGGCTGGCTAAGCCCTTGTTGGAACGAAAGACAAGGGTTTTGTGTTTTTTGGAGGGAGGGGGTAAAAGGGAAGATGCTGTCTAATGGGTATAGAGTTTCAGATCTACAAGGTGGAAAAGTTCTGGAGATGTGTTTTACAGCAATGTGAATATACTTTACACTACACTAAAAAATGGTAAGGGCTTCCCCTGGTGGCACAGTGGTTGAGAGTCCGCCTGCCGATGCAGGGGCCACAGGGTT